GAGAGAGAGAGAGAGAGAGAGAGAGAGAGAGAGAGAGAGAGAGAGAGAGAAACACATGCAAATGTAGACAGAACGTGCGAGGTTTTACTTTCACAGCATACACGTAATGTCCATGGCATGTGATACCAGTCGCGATTACCCTTCTACCTCACTGCTCAGGTAATCATTTCAGCCACTATCCTCAGTATTTATACCCTTCGTTCCCAGTCCTTCTCCGCCACTTTCCCTATCCTTGCAGTGTACTCATCATCTATCGGGATCTCCCGCAGTCGCTCTCACATGCCTTCAATCTGGAGCTACTTTCATCATATCTTATGATTCTGTTCGTTGATTGATTTTTGTCACCCTTGTTTCCAGATATGTTCATTCTGTGTTCGCGTTGTCTGATGTGATTTCAAGTTTTAGAGATTGGTGGTAGCATGTTTGAAAAGATTTCAGACATTCCAACTCTTTCGTTTGATCTTCCTTACTTGCTATTATGATCATCATTACATCGTCCACAAAACTCATACCATGGATAAGTTTCTCATCAATTCAAGTCTGCGCACACCATTTGTACTTGTCGAACTCGCATACCATGTTGGCAATGGGTGGGCTAGAGTCCTTCCCCATTGGTATCCCCATTACTTAGCATAATAATGTTCCTTGTACTTTGAAGTTTGACGTATGCGTGTTTGATGTCATAGTACAACAGATCTATTAGGCATTCAATTTTTAATGTTCTCCATCCGTAGGTTCCGTTTGCTTTTCCAAAGTTCATGTACTTTCCTCTCATCTCGTAACAGAAGTGGGTTTTCCGTTTTTTTTTCGCCGTTTTCATCATCCATTGCATGACGTTTAAAATATGTGTGTGATCGAGATTCGAAAATATATCTTTGACGCCGTATGTGGAGCAGATTATCGTAGTCATATCCCCGTATGTTTCTTTTGCTACTTGATTGCATTTCTTCAGTCTAGGTAGTAGTTGGTTCGTTCCTTTTAGTGAGAAACCAACTTTCAATGCTTGACACATGAAGTTGATAGCTCTTGATAGTACCTTCGATGCTTTCCGAGATGACTCCTTATATGTCGACACAATTGGTCGGCGTCTGGTGACGTCCCTGTTTTTTTGAATTGTATATGCATTTCCATATGATCCCTGTTCATCCCATTCTGCGATTTTCTTCAGCCTACATCCATGATACGTATTTTTGGCCAATTGAGTGATCTCAGATTCTGTTTGTTGTATAATTTCGTAGTGATTCGATTTCGGAAAGAGTTTTCGGGTCTTCTCGTACCAGATTTTACGGCATTCCACAAAAGTTTCTCCGGGATTTATGTTCAATGGTGATATGATACATTATGTCAATCTTCTTTTTACTTCCCATACTTCTGATATGTGAAGAAAAATCTCCATTCATTCTTCTTTTGAACCGATTTAAACAAAACATGTATATTCTGATTCACCTCATTGTTTTCATTCTTCTTCCTCTTTCTCCTTCTTCGTCTTCGGTTTTTCCGAGTCTTTCTGCCTTTTTCTCTTGTATTCAAGATTGGATTCGGTCTCCTAATCAGTGTTGCTTCCATCCCTATCACCTCTGATCTCACTCCCGTCCAAATGGGTATCAGAACATATTTCTCCCAACCAAATTTGTGCAGCCAACTGTATAGTTTCCGCTGTGCTTCTCTATTTGGATTCTTGGTCAAGTTTATGTGTTCAGTCCATCTCTTGTCGGGCTGTCTTCCTGTCCTCCCTACGTACATATGTGTACACCAAGGTGAAACTCCTTGTACTAACTAGTTGCTCAATTTTCGTTGATAGCCTGTGTATCTGCTCCCACTTCTGTGTCGTGGTGAGGTCGCCTGATGCTGAGGTGTCTTCTACCTTCCCGACAGATCTTCGGC